AGTTCCTTACAGGGTCAACCTGGCAGCTGTCTGCTGATCACACACTGTTACACAGCAACCCCCAATGGAACAATCCCAAAGCAGACCCTGAGAGGATGATTTTGCAGGGAGAGAACAGTAAATCAGTGTGGTACGTGGTGAAAACTTTGCCACTTGGTGACGAATAGGACCTCTAAAAGGTCAGCAGCCTCACTATCCTAAGTACGGCCCTCAAACAGCCCCCAGTTTTATAAGAGTGAGCCTCTTCAAAGGTTGTAGCACTGTGTCCTGCCCTTGACAGAGAAGTGCTTCCTCAGGCAGCTCTGCCAGTGCTCATGGACAGCAGTGGTGGCACCAATCCCCAGCAGGACACACCTGGCACGTAGGCCAGCGCGCTGTGCTCCACCTCGGGCAGTGGGAAGCTCAGCTCCAGCGGCTCTGTCCCGTGGTTCCCCATGGCCAGCTGCACCAGCAGCACTGCCATGGACACCTGCAGGTTCAGGCAGTTCTGCAGCATCTGTGGCTCCGTCATGGCCGTCTTGGTGGAGAGATAGATGGTCATGAGGCGCTCGAACTGCTCCCTGAGGCTGTCAGCAGCAGGGCTGGAGCTCTGCTGAGCTTCTCGCCATGCCACTTGAAGGCGGTGAAGACTTTGGTTTATCTTTACCATCTGATCGTGCAACCTGCACAGGAAAAAAAGGCAAGGAGGACCTGAGAAGACAGACAGACATCCTGCCTCAGCAATGCATAAGCTGGTGAGAGACTGTTCTATGCCAGCAAATTCAGATAATTTCCTGCAGGTACTCTGGCGGGGGCTCTGGCAGTGCCTTGGAGAAAGGCTTGTCAGAGCCTGGGAGGATATGAGACCCTGTGAGGGACTGTGGGGCCTGCAGAGTGGCCTGGGGAGCTGGCAGAGCATTTTGCAGCGCGGAGCTCCCTCGGGTCACAGTCAGGGATCCAGCACGCCCCAGCCCACATGTTCAGTTTCCCAGCAACGAGCCACTTGCATAATAACTTTTTTGTCAATTTCTATATTTAGAGAATAAACCAGAAGGGGACTCTGCTTGGATCAGCCATGACCTCACAGTATCCAGGCAACGATTTGCAGAGGGAAGCTGGGCAAAATAGCGAGTTCTGGTGTCCAGAAAATCCTTTCCTGGAAGCAGACAGCCACCTCCCATTCCTGCTTTGTGCACAGCCCAGTTACTGGGACAGTTTGGGTCACCCCTAGTGGGCAGGTGCCCTGCCATCAGGTTGCTCTCCAGTAGAGAAGGGAGGTGCCAGAGACCCTTCCCTGAGGAGAAGGGGAATGGAGCAACTCGCAGACACTCAGCACTTGGCTGTTGGTGCCTATAAATAACATGGAGTCTGTAAGACTGTGAGCAAAGGGTCTTTTAGTAGTCAGTTAGGCTGAGGTTCAAACAGCAGCTCAATTGGCCACTCTGTATTTTAAGTATTTACTAAAATTTCCATGGCAAATACAGGTGGAAAACAGCCCTGGGGGAACTGAGAGCAGGTACCTGTGAAACCCCAAGTGCAGGGTGTACTGTGTGAGCACCAGGTTTTCTGTCACCAGGTTGTAACTGTTTGCAAACTCCGGCTCTTGCTCACTCAGAGCAGGGATCAAACATGTTTCTTTCTCCAAACCTGGAAGGAAAAGCAGCTCTGTGTCAGGCCCTACCCAGCAGTGCTGATAAGAGAAGAGCTCGAGACGGCCTCTGCTGAGGACACAGAAGGGCTCACAGTGATGCTGGCAGTGCTTTATTTGTATTCAGCTCTCTCCTTACTCCTCTCTAATCACAGTTGTAACTCTCCCTATACTGGCACCTATTAAGAGGGCACTACTGGGAGAGGTGAGGACATGAGGAGATCCCCTTTGCCATTCCCCTGCTCCCCAAGTTTTGGCTGTACCTTTCATGTGTACGTTCTTACTCCTCCTCTCCTCTTCATTCAGCTCCTTCAGGGCACAGTAGGTAGGGTTGAAGGTTAGCAGCCTCGGAGATTTGGGTTTGCAGAAGGGCTGACATAGCTTCAGGAGGGCAGCCCCCAGGTTGAGGAAGAAGGCATCTGAGGCATACATCTGGAAGAAGATCTCTGGCATCTGGTTAGCCCAAATTTTGGTGCGGCCCGCATTCGCGTGGAGGCAGTTTCCCAGCCAGGAGAGAATCCTGTGCTTTGTCTCTGGAGACAACTGCAACAGGTTCTTCAGCATCTGGTAGATCTTCTCATGGAACTGGGCCATGAACTGTTACAGGGAACAGAATACAGTTGAAGGAGTCTAGCACCTTGAGTTATGGCACCGGTGTCTGTTCCGCAAATGCCACCCAACCCTTTTCCCAAAGCTCAGGCCAAGGCCTTTGATAGAACACAAAGACATGTGTTACAAACACCTGAGGCAGCTGGCAAAGCCATTCCCATGCTCCAGCTGGAGACTCCAAAGCAGTTTTGGGACTTACCTAGTAACAAGTCAGGTTGTTACAGAGTCAGTGGTGGAATTCAAGCCCTGATACCATGTCTTGAACCCTCAGGCAACCGGAGGCCACTAAACATTGCGGGAAGCAGTACTGCCCTGCTTCACTCACCTGATGGATGTTGGATTCCTGCACTTTGATCTCCTGTGGGCTGGATCGGGATGGATTCAGAAAGTAGCCGTGGTTTTCCACCACGCCAGGGGTCTTCAACAAGCAGGAGATGTTTAAAATGGCACCAAGCAAAGTCTTCTGGTACATCTGCCCATTGCTGGGATCCTTGGGCTGGATGTAGCCTGCAAAAACCTGGGGAACACGTCGGGACATGCTGACAGTTGTACAAAATCCCAGTAAAAAAACCCTACAAACTGATGGGTTTGGGACAGGCTAAGAGAAAGGAGCAGAGGGGTAGGAGTACACACACCAGGTGTTGTACCGCTGGTTTGGCCTCTGCAGGTCCTGGATAACTCAGGAGCTAAATGAGCTCCCCAGAGGGGCTCCTGCCCAGAGCGAGGCACCCACCTTGGCTATGTCCTTCTGCTTCGTGAAGTAGAGGAGCACATCGAGGTATGTGTACAGCAGGATCTGGCAGAGGTCCAGGTCCTTGATTCTCCCCAACAGGATGTCAAACACAGGAACCATGACCTCCCCGAACGTCCGCACCTCCTCGTCCATCGTTAAGGCCTCTATGACCTCCTCAAGGAACTCTGTCATGTCTTCAAACTCTGGCAGGGTGTGACACAAGGCTGTTACTCACAATGCTACAACAGCCAGACTGACCCAAACACAGCCCTCCCTTTTGGCAACTCCACATGCCCCAGGGCAGCCTCGCAGCACTGAGCCAGCAGCACAGCTCGGCCACACTTACGTGCCCCCCTCAGTGCCTCCAGCATCAGGTCCACCAGCTGCTCGTACACATTCTGGTTGACATAGATCTCGGGGGTGAGGAGCACGGTGCGGGTGTTGGACACCGTCAGGTTGCGGCAGCGCACAGCGAAGGGCAGCAGGTTCTCTGGAACCTTGGTGATCTGTGCAGGGAGAACGGGGCAGTGCTGGGGCCCGGGTTGTTACACCCTCAGCTGGGTCACCCCGGAGCGCAGGGCCGGGTGACAGAGCTGCCCTCCCCCTCGGCAGGGTCCCTCCTGCCCTGCCCACCTCCTCCCGTGCCCTGCGGAAGCAGGCATAGAGGTAGCGCAGGATGTGCCGCTCCCCGGCGTCGCGGTCGGCAGACAGGTTCTGGGTGCTGGCACAGGTCATGTGGATCAGGTGGCTCCCGGGCTCCGGCAGCAGCAGGCGGGTGAACAGGGCCTGGAAACCAGAGCAGAGACGGGCACAGTGACACAGCCCCAGCTACTCCCCCCGTGAAAAAGGGAGCCCCACCCCACACAGGCTGATTGATTCCTGCTGGGAAGGGTTCTCTCTAGCCCTTGTTAAGTAGCAGAGTGCAGGGCTGAGAACCCTGTGCAAATCCTCCAGTCCCATATGGAGCAACAGCAGCCCCACCAGGAGTCATTTCCACTGAAAACCTCATCAGGAATGGCTGACATGGCCACAGACAAAGCCAAGCATGTGTGCGGACACTGATCACTGAGTTCTGTTTGGTTTTTGTTCCCCTCCCCACCCCCAGTGGATCTGCAGGGCAGCAAACCCCTGCAGCCTCTGGGAGGAAGGTCTGGATTCCCCAAATTCTACACCTTTCTCAGCTTTGTACTCCAAAAACCCCACAGACGTTTCCAGCAAAGCTACGAGAGGCAGTTCCACGCCAGACTTTGGGAAGGGATTTGGGACGTGTCCCATGTGCACTGTGGGGAATTACACTCAACTCCTGTGGCCAGAGCTTGCAGAAGGCCGGGGGCCCCACCTGTTCCACGTTGTCCATGTCCAGCCAGTCCTGGTCATCCAGGTCTGCAGCCATTTCCTCCAGGTAGACGCAGCGCGCCGGGATCCCATTCCCGCTCTTCATGCTGGGGTCGCCTGGAAAGGGCAGAGGGACCCGTTCCATCCACAGGGATGGGGACCCTGCAGGCAGGACCTGCCTCTGGCACAGCCCCAGCTGTGTCCCCTCCCCACTGTGCCCTCCCATGTCAGGGCTGAGCCAGCCCACCCGCGGGGTTCCCAGGCTCACTGTTGTCCAGGGTGATGAGGAAGATCCTCTGGATCATGTGGTTGATGTTGAGCTGCTCGCAGAGCTCCCGCTGCGAGCGGAACGAGCGGCTGATCTCGGCCACCGAGTAGTCGCAGTCGTCCAGGCTCTCGGAGACGCTGTTGTCAGAGTCATCCTGGCTGATGGACGTCTCCTCGCCTGCACGGCACAGCCCTCAGCGCCCCGAGCGACAGCCCTGTCCCTAGGGCAGCCTCGCCCCCTCCCCAAGGGACAGCCCTGCCTGGGGAAGCCCCTGCCCGGGGACAGCCTCGCCCCCCACCTGTCAGCTGCCGCAGTTGCTGCTGCTTCTGGATGGCGGCGAAGTGCTTGGCGGCCGCGACGGAGCCGAAGAGGGCGGCGAAGGGATTGCTGGAGATGCTGTTGTTGTTCTCCTGGTCAGTCATCTCCTCTCAGGGAAGCGCCATGCGGGGGGGCCGGGGCAGGGCTGCAGGGAG